AAACCTGAGTAGAGAGGCCATTTGCCTTCCAAAGGAAGATACTCTACATGATGGGAAAACCCTACAAATGGGCAATTTGGGTACCAGCTGTAGCCCAAATATAGAGAAGGTACTTTCCTGTTGAAATTTGAAATATGTGCCTGATATCTGAGAGACAATACAGAGCAGTGGATAGAGAGAAGGCATCCAAACTAGAAAGACCCGCTGTCTGAGGCCTGCTTCTGATGCATACTGGTTGTGTAACCTTCAGCATTGTCACTTACTTCTCAGTGCCCTAGGCAACTCTAAGACCATAAGCTACAGGAAAGGCACCAATGTGCCCTTTCCCCAGCTGACAGACCTCTATATCAATGAAATCATTGGTCCAATATTCTATCCCCATGCCTTATTTATATGTGAACTGTTCAAAGATGAAGAGAGGAGAGCAGAGAGCAGGAGGGAGTAAGTATTTCTTTTTTACTCAGTTTACTAAAATAAATTTACTAAGTGTCAACTGTGTGCCAAGCACTGTGCTAAGATCGTGACAAAGATTTCATTTTATCCTCATAACCAAGGAAGTTAATTTCCATTATTATCCCCATTTTACAGTTGAGGAAGATAAAGATTCAATGACTTGCCTAGGGTCACATAGCTAGTAAGTGTCTGAGGCCAGATTTGAATTCAGGTCTTCCCAACTCCAGGCTCAAGGCTCTATCCATTCGCCACCTCGCTGCCAGAGATAGGAACACATCCCTCAACTTATACATCAGTGTTAAACTACTTAACATTAATTTACTTGTCCAGTAGTGAGAAAGGATATATGTGATGATAGAATGTAAAGCATGCAATCCTGAAGACCATCTAGCCTCCTCATTTTACAGATCATGAAACTGAGGCTTGAGAAATAAAATAATTTGAACAACATTACGTTGGTAGTCAGCAGAGCCCAATTCAAACCAGGTCTCCTGAATCCAAATTCAGTATGCTTTCCTCCCAACCACCTTGGCTTTTGTGATGTGTTATGCTTCTGATCAATGACACACATTTTCCAGCTGTCAAAGCACAGTTACAGAATAGCCCAAAGCTGGGAGACAGTTTTTCTCCATATGAAGCTAACTGTTCCCTATGAGAACTGAACCTATAACCTGGTCAGTCATGATGAGCACTGCATTCTAATCATTAGAGCTAGCCCAGACAAACTGTTCTGAAGACTTTCAAAAAGCATATGGATTGGTAAATTTCCTCATCTTGTCCCTACCCAGAGTCAGCATAGCATGGTGGATAGAAATCTGGCCTCTAATCCAAGAAGATATGGGGTCAAATTCTACCTCTCACATACTGGTTGCTGAACGCTGGCTAAATCTTTCAATCTCTCAGTTAATCCTCTCAGACTTCAAAATTTCATTGGCAGAAGGCAGATCTCATCTGGGCGTTTCGTGTGCCAATAAAATCACAGAACCAGTCCTTAACCCTATTCTATACCCATCTTTACCTATCTCATATCCAGGTACAGGATTGGAGGAAATGCTTCTCCCACATCTTGATGTCTTTTTAAAAATTCATTATTCATTTATTTTTAACATTCTTTTCGATTTAAATTTTGGTTTCCAAATTCATGCATCCTAATGTCTTAAAGATTGTTGTAGCTCATAGTAATATGTTGGGTTCCCAAGAATTCAAGGACAGATGATTGATGATTACCCATTTTCCAAGGGCTCTTGGCTCACACAAAGGTAGACAGTGAAACAGGAGAAGACTTGCTGCAAAGGGGTCTCCTCACCTCCTAGAGAATCTTCCTGCTCTTAGTTTTCCACTGAAGTTTGAGTTTGTCTAATTACACAGCTCCCAAAACTACCCCTAGACTTGATCATTTGGAGTTATCTGTTTTTCCATAATAAGAGAAAATTGGGCAAAGCCCTATTAGGGATTCAGTCATCCCTTCAGCCAAGAAGCACTGGTCAGTTAACAAGCAGCCATTAGTGCTATGTGTCAGACACTATGCTAAACACTGGGGATGAAAAGAAAGGTAAAAAACTCAAACAGCTCACATTCTAATGGGAGAGACAACATGCAAAAACAAAATATACATAATATATGTATATGTGAATATCGTGTTTATTATATACATATGTGTCCATTTAAAGAATAAATGGATAAATGGAAAGTCGCTTCAGAGGAAAAACACTAGCAATAGTGGTGGCAGTGGCTGGGGGAGAAGACTGGGAGAAGCCCCAAGCAGAAGGTGGGCTTTGAAATCGGTCTTGAAGGTCAGGAAAGCCAAGAGGTCGAGGTAAGGTAGGAGAACATTTCAGGTATGTGAGATTGCCAGTGAAAAGGGTACAGAGTTCAAAGGTGAAGTATCTAGGTGGAATCAGGAAAACTTGAGTTCAAATATGACCTCAGGCACTTCCTTGCTGTATGACCCTGGGCAAGTCTCTTAACTCTGTTTGCCTCAGTTTCCTCATCTGTAAAATGAGCTGGAGAAGGAAAAGGCAAACCACTCCAGGATCTCTGCCAAGAAAACCCTAAATGGGGCTCACCAAGAGTCAGACACATCTGAAAAATGACTGACTGAATCATGTATGAGGAATAACAAGAAGGCCAGTGTCACTAGATTGTGAAGTATGTGGAAGGAATTTAAGTGTAAAAAAACTAGAAGGGTAGAAAGGGGCTGAGTTATGAAGACCTTTAGGGAGCCATACTGTAGGTCACAGGCAGCCACTGAGTTTATTGAGAAGTGGTGTGACGTGGTTAGATCAGCCCTTTAGGAAGATCATTTTGGCAGCTGAGTGGAGGATGGGCTGGAGTGAGGAGACAATTGTGGCAGAGAGATAAATAGATGGTATTACCACCTCATTTGCCAGCTAATAGCCTGTTTCAGAGTCAAAACTGACATGAGATTACCAAAGCTTTTCCTCAGGCCAGCAAAATATAAGTGGGATCTGATTCCTCTCTAGAGTGACTATGTCTCACCCAGCTTTGACCACTCCTCATCCTTGCCCTCCAGAGACTTGCTGTTTAATGCCCCTTCTTCTCCAGTTCCTGAGATGGTAAAGGTTAGACTCTGAAGTACAGGCCATACCGTCTCTAATGCTGGCTGTGTGACTATGGGAAAATTACTTGACCTCTCTGAATCTCACTTTCCTCATCTGTAAAGTAGAACAGTTAGATATGATGTCCTCTAAGGTCTTCCCGTCTATGATCTATGAGCCAAAAAACATTACTGTTAATAAGATTCCTCTGCAACACCCCTCCCCCACCCTGAATTTCTCTCTGGAGAAGAATTCCTCTTTATCTTTCTTTCCTCAACTGTGATAGGAAGCAATCTGCTTGGAGCCTCAAGGTTTACAGCTTCCTGAATCAGGATGCTTGCAGTAAGTTTTCTGGGGTCTTAATAGATCTTGGGAGAAAGAGATAAAAAAAAAATGTCCCAGGGAGAGTTTCTGCCATGCTGATTGGACTGAGGAAAAGTCATAAGTAATTTTCTGCTCGAGGCCTCTGGGGAGTTTTTGTGAGTGACCTGCAGGTCTCTGCTTGAGAAGTGCCTCACACAGTTCCCCAAGGGGAGCCTGTCGGTGTTCCATGCTGTCCCCAGAAAGCAAGGAAGGCATTTTCAGAAAGCTTAGAAGGGCTTTCTCTGCCTTTGCTGACTGCTGGTTCCATCGATTAGCCCTGTAGGGTGGCTGCTTTCCACCAGGTAACTTTCTCCAGCTTTGTTGAAGCATTGGGTTCAGTGTTTGGTGGCTGATTTGGCTCCAGGTGAATGAAGACCAAAGTTATTTCAATTAAGAATGTTGAACATGGTTTCCAAAGGCATTGCATCAGTATAAGCAGCATAGCATTCAGTAGGCAGAGATAAAGTCTGAATGGAGAGCTTGAGAGATGCCTAATTTTATGCTGTTGCTAGGGATATCTGTTGTGTGTGTGTGTGTGTGTGTGTGGTGTGTGTGTGAATGTGTGTGTGCATGCGTGCATGTATGTTTGCATGAACTAAATGAGTAATGTGACTCAAAAACTACAGGTGACCCTCTTTGCTCCTCTCCCATTTTATCTTAGGGAAAATGGGAAGGATGCTCCTGTTTGCAGCTTTCTAGGGAATGCAGTGCAGGTTCCTGGCTAAACTTGCAAACCACAAGGCTGGGCTGTGTGGGAAGTCAGGTATTTCCATATGTTGCTTCTTTCATTGAAGCATCAGGGAACCCTCCTCCTGAAATAGTCCATATTCTCTACAGGAATGTGTCGTAAGCCATGCATACCAATCACTTCCTCAGGACCAGCTGTTGCAGAAACTTAAGCATCATTTGAGTAGCACTGGCTGGAGTGTGCTGTCTGTCCTTCTTAAGGTTATTCCCTACTCATGCTGGGAGCTGCCAGGTGACAGTGCAGGTCTTCCTTGGCTGGGGATATGGCTTATGGCTATGGGACTCTGGCCTCAGGCTGTCATAGAGGTCAGTGGGGCTACTTGGCCCCAGAGAAGCCACAGCTCATCAGAAGCCCTGAATTATAGGATGCAATCACAACCTGTGAATGATTTTCCTTCCCTACTGTTAATTTAGCACAGAGATAACATGCTGCTTGGCTGCCTTCATGCTCACCCTGAGTGACAATCAACTACAATTCATTCTTGCCTTCACTGATCCCTTTTGGTCCTTGCACACTTTCCGGGCCAATTCTCACAGATACAATAGGTGAAGCATGCATCGAAGTCATGGCATCTCTTGACTACATGAACAAGAGCCTTAGAAATCAACTCTTCTCAGAGCCGCAGTCCTGACAATACACCTAGAGTCTGAGCCAAACTGTTTGACTCTCTCTCTCTCTCTCTCTCTCTCTCTCTCTCTCTCTCTCTCTCTCTCTCTCTCTCTCTCTCTCTCTCTCTCTCTCTCTCTCTCTCTTTCTCTCTCTCTCCCCACCTCGCTCTCTGCATCATTTGCTCTTTTGTTTTGCTTTGAGAGTACCTCAATAATCGTGGACTTGTGCTCCACGGTAGTGAGCCTGTTTGTTTCTGATTCTTCATGCAGAATAGGAAGGAGGTTCACTTGCTTTGCACAGAGACTAAGCCAGAGGCGAAAGCAAAACCAATGTGATTTATTGAATGAAGACGCTGGACAATTACCAACAACTTGTTCCTCTTCTGCCTCATCCAAGCTAAACTGGTAAGTAAATCCTATTACCTTCTCCCATCATGTTGAACATGGAGCTTGCTGGGTCGTCGTTTTTTTAAAAATGTGTGATGCATGTTTAATGATGTGATCTGTGCATCTTCTAAAGAATTAGCTGGGGGTGATATATGCAGGGCACACGCACACACACACGCACACACAAACACTGCTCTTCAGGGACACGAACATTTCTACACAGATATACTGGGGCACAAGAAGGAGGAAATCCATGCATTTTTTTTAATTATTGGGAGCAGCAAGCATTAGAACACTCTGTGTTGTTGCCTTTGAGAATCAAAACAGATTACTGCCACCCTTGGTTTTACCATTCCCTGTCATTTCCCAGTCTGCTCCCAAAGCACCTGTCAAATACCTGTTGGATCAGATTAACTGGTGGGTCCCAGAATGCTGAAAAGGACCAATGCCGGTCTGAGCAAACAACTACTTCCCTGACTCTGGTTTGTCAGCTGAGTATGGAGGCCAGAATGCCAGCATTTAAACGATCCTAGGTGATCAGGAACAGAATTGTCTGAGCAGACCTAGTGCTAGGAACCTGGTAATGTTTCAACATGCTTTTTCCCCAGGATAACAGCAACACAACAGATGCATGTGGGCAAATCACTACCTTGGTTCTCTAATATCATAAGGTAAATATTCTTGAATGTGAATTTTTTTTTCATTCACACAGATATCAGAGGGATTCACTGAATATAGATAGAGTGGGGACCGCTGCCCTTCTGGGATGTGTGGCAGGCCACTAATGTGGCTGTGGGCTGCACCATTTGTCTTTAATACTAATCATATTCCTGAACTGGGCACCATGAATGGCCACAAGAATGACCCAGCTTAATTCCTTCACCTTTAAAAACAGATAGGAGCTCATTTCTATGGAAGGAAAAAGGGATGTGGAAAAACAATTGCTTCTTCTTTCCCCTTTTTATCATGGACTTTCGTTTGAACTGCTATTCCTATGTTTTATGGAACCATCAATCCAGCTCTCTTGTGCTAATACTTCTAGGTCTGAATCCATATAAATGTCATGTAGAGTTGAAGGTTTCATTTGGTATATTCTCTCTGTAGTATACCACTTGGCTATTAAGACAAAGTCGTGACTATTAATTCTGACTAGGACAAAAGATAAATTACCTAGAAACAGAGAACAACATATTTCTCACAATGGGTTAGGAACTGAAGTTGGGAAATTTGGGTTGACTTGCATAAGAGAGGCAAAACTTTGTATAGCACCCTGGGATCCATGCACTGTTGATCATAAGGGCTATGCCATTCTCCATTTTGATATGAAAGTTCCAGAAATGATGGAAACTTAATAAGTGATTAATAACCTGGAGAATCTCCAGAGAATGGCATCTAGGATGGAGACAGGCCTTAAGTTCATACAAGGTGACTTTAGAAGCTTGGTGATTGCTCCTAGGGATTCTGTAGCCATAGCTACTGAAGACCTTAAAAACAAAGTTCTTGCCACCAAAGTGCTTAGCATTGTCAAATGTCTCAATATCAGTGAAAACAACACTAAAGAAGAGGCAATACCCTCTGCTTTAACGCTGAACCCTAAGAACCGTGAGACCTTTCCATCTGACTTGTAGGTGAAACCTTCCATATATCAGCTTATCAGAACGGCAAGCTGCTTGAGAGCAAGGACTGTCTTACTTTTCTATGTGTATCTCCAGCATTTAGCAAAGTGATTTGAACATAGTGAGTATTTAATAGCTGCTTCATTCATCCATTCATATGGATGTATTGAAGGAACTGAGAATGTTTAGCTTAGAGAAGAGAAGATTCAGGAAAGACATAGATATCTGTCTCCAGGTACTTGAAAGGTACTTGAAAGGACATCACCTGGAAAAGGGATTAGACATTCCGTTTGACATCAAAGAGGCAACTTTATGCTTAATTTAAGGAAAAACCTTACATTTAATTTATTAAAACTATTCAAAGCTGGAATGCCATAGGCAATAGTAGTATCCCCCTCACTGAATGTCTTCAGACAAAGGCTGGATGACTTCCCTCTTGCAGGGCGAATTTTTTTCTAGGTGTGGAACTAAATGACCTTGGAGAAGTCCTTTCCAACTTGAAAATTCTGTGATAAATGAAGGAAGATTGGATGGTCTTGGCAACTCAGTGGCCCAATGGATAGAACGCTAACGCTGAGGTCAGGAAGATTTGAGTTCAAATTTGCCCTCAGATACTTGTTAGCTGTTTGACCCTGGGCAAGTTAGTTAACCTCTGTCTGCCTCAGTTTCATCATCTGTAAAATGAGGCCCATACCTCGAAGGATTTTTATGAGGATCAAATGAGGTAATATTTGTAAAATGTTTTTGCAAACCTTAAAACCATGTAAATTCTAGCTATTATTAGTATTTATATAATGCTAGCTAGCTTTTATATGACTCAGTTACTAGATCAATTGGCAGGGAGTCAGGGACACTATTCCTGATTCCTCAGCTAATTGTCTGATTTGGGTAATATCATTATCACAGAGTGGACCTTAAAGATTATTGTAGCTAAAGTCATCATTTTATAGAGAAAGACTCTGAACCCTGGAAAGCCAAAATGACCTATCCAACATCATAAGCCAATTAATTGCAGAGCCAGAAATGAAACCCAAGCCTTCCAACTCCCAGGACAGCATTGTCGTTGTTGTTGTTGTTACTGTATTTCCTCTCTATACCTTACCCTGCCTGTATCTATAATCGTGCTGGTCCTTCTCTACTCAATGGGCTCACATTGTCATAAGATTCCTTAGGTAGAAGAGACCTCATATAGCACCAGAATACAATAGATTTTGAGCTGGAATGGACCTTAAAGGTCATTTTAGAATGTTATTTCTATGCTTTCTTCCAGCACTAAATCCATGATGCTATGATATGGCAAGTTGAGTCTGAGATAATAGTATGACATTCAAGTTTAAAAGCAGACAGTGGAAAATGTTGGCCTGAAGTTCAAGAAATTAATCGGGGCTAGAACTACAGATGTGGGTATCATGTGTGTAGAAAGGACCAAGAGAGAAGGAGCTTCCAGAAAGGTAAAAAGAGAGTCAAGATAGAGTAATGAGCTTGACCTCAATTCCTGGCAAAATCTAAAACATCATTAAAAGGGTGGTTAGTGAATAGCTAGAAAGGGTAACAGACCATGACAGGCTTCTGAAGGAACAAAGTCTAATCTTATGTCCTTCTTTGACTGGATTACTAAACTGAGAGATCATCAAAATGTTATAGTTACATGTGTACATAGTTACGTAGTTATAGTGTCTAGGTGCATAGTTATAATGCTATAGTTAATAGGTACACCTAGGTACCAATTAACACAAATAATGAATCCTGTGAAGTGTTTTCATTATTGGAATTCACACTGAATTCACATTGGGCTGGAACCAATGACAATATACTACATAATTATAATTTCAAATAGTGGGAATTCAAATATATCCACATCCTACTTCATGGAAATCATTGTTTGCACTAATAGAGACCAGGCTGTTACAGTAATTATTTTAACATTCTTTAGTCTTCAGAAAAAAAAAGAAGGGCTCAAATGGGGTCAATCACTTGTTACCTTGACATAGAGAAGCATGAAAGGCATATACATGTGTACATATATGTATATGTAAATCTGCGTGCTAAATATACATTAGATAGTAGTACTGTAAGACTGATTTTAAAACCACATAGCAAATGAAAGAGCTTTTTAAAAAAAAATTCTTTACAAGCTTAAAAGGTGAAAATGAAGTGTTATATTGTTTCCTTCCCCTAGGACCAGCCACGTGAAAATGACCCAGCAAATGCAGAATCTACATCTTTCTCAGACTAAAAAGAACAGTGCTCCATCTTCTCCTAATGCTGCCAAACGCCTCTATCGAAATCTTTCTGAAAAATTCAAGGGGAGTCATTCTTCTTTTGATGAGGCATACTTTAGAGCAAGAACTGACCGACTCAGCCTTAGAAAGACATCTGTGGTAATACATCTCTTGCTTATGTTCTCAGTTGGGAGTTCTTGGTTATTTTGCTTGGGATCCTAGAGGTTCTAGAATGGGTTAGCTTTTGTGATTTGTCAATCACATACATGATAAACCCAACCCTAAGCAAGTAGAGGGAGTAAAGGCAGAAGATACCAACTTTTTGTTACCTGCTGATGCTTCAGCTGCCTCTGGGTCTTCATTTCACTGTCAGGCTTCTGGAAACACTGTTTGACTATTACAAAATGGCGTTTTAAACTGGTTCCCCGAAGGAAGCCATATTTCCTCAATTATAGAGGATTTTGTTAAAAGCTCCAAGCAGATAAGTGGCACAGATGTGGGCTATGTATCAGGTGGAAACCTGCTGGTTTTTGCAAGCTAATGCCTAGGTGTGGAAATTATGTGTGGGTAACCTGAATCAGAGTACACATGGCATGGGAGAAAATAGAAAAATCAATGAATGCTAAAGAGCATGAAATAATTTGGCAATTAGGCGAAGCAGAAGATAGAGTGCTGGACCTGGTATCAGGGAGGCCTGAGCTGACATTCAGCCTCAAAGGTTTTACTAGTTATGTGACCCTGGGCATGTCACCTAACTTCCTTTTGCATCACTTTTCTCTACTGTAAAATACATATAAGAATATCACTTATCTCTCAGAGTTGTTAGAAGGATAAATGAGAAAATGTATAGAAAGTATTCGGCACACTACCTGGCACATAGTAGGTGCTTAAGAAATAACTTTTAAAATAAAACTACAGGGTCATATCTTTCAAGCTGAAAGAGACATTAAAGGCCATCTAGTTCCAATCCCCTCATTTAAAGATGAGGAAACTGAGGCCCAGAGAGGTTAAGTGATTTGCCTAAGGGCATAAAAGTGGCTTTGAATCCATTAGATGCCAGTCCCAGGGTTCATTCCACCAGAGCCCAATGCTGAGTGAGCTTTAAGCTTTAAACCAATTTGTTTTCTCAAGCCTAATTTATCTTAAAGGAAGACTTGGTTGTAATTGAATTGTAGCTGAATCTCAATTTTGGCAGAGACCTTCTGTGTGATATTTAGCCTAGTGTCTCGTGTCTCACAGCGGGCAATTATCTCTGAAGCAAAAGTCTCTTTATTCCCCCATCCTCAATGTCAAAACAAGCAGCTGTGCAACATTGCCACATATTCCTCGGTCTCCATCTACACCAACCTGCCCTATGTATGGCAAGCCATTTGAAAGGGGCAACTGATTTTACATGAGCCTAAAACTTAAAACTGTCCCAGTTAAACATTGGGCTACTGATGTACTTCACTGCCACACTTGAATCTGAAGCACTACGCTCCTTCATCAACAGTTGGTTCAATAATCTAATCCATGCAGACACTTGTTCTAATGGTATAGATTGTAATCTTCCTATACTTCTTGTTCTGCATAGCTCTTCGTCTTTCTGCTCCTCTTCCAGAAAGGATTTTAATCAATGTGTAAGAGACCTTCTTGTGATTCTTTTAATATTGTGATCTTACCAGCACAGCTCTTGGGCTGTCCATCTGTTATCCTTCACTCTTGATACGTGGCCTCCCTATCTCTTTTTTTGGTCGTATTGTTACTGTTGATCTCTAAAACTCTGGATGAAATGTTCTCTAAGGTCTCTACCCCCTTTCCCAGTGATATTATGACTTCCACATAAGTTCTTGCATTCAAGACATTGTAGAATATGCTTCAGTCTACTGACGCACCAACTAATTTTTACATTGCCCTTTGAGTCATTTGCCATTTTGGTGTTTATGAGACCATAAAATTCTATGATTCACCCAATATGTAGCATCACTGGGAAAATCCTATTTTTTTAGGAATCTTCTGTAGAAAACATAGCTTTAGGTCATTTTGAAAGTAGCTTCACAAATGCAGTCTAGTCAGTCACCAAGCATTTCTTAAGCCCTTAATGTGTGCCAGGCACTGTGTAAGCACTGGGAATATAAAGAAAGGCAAAAGGCAGTCCCTGTTCCCAAAGAGCTCACAGTCTAATGGAGAGACAACTTACAAATATGTAGAAACACAATATATACCAGATAAATAAAGCATTTATTAAGTATTTATGATGTACCAGACATTGTGCTAAGGGCTGAGATACAAAGAAAGGCTAATAGGCAGTTCCTACTCTCAAGGAACTCACAATCTAATGGAAGGCAGACTTAGCATGCAAATGTACAAACAAGATATGTGCAGGATAAATTGGATCTAATCAACAGAAGGAAAGTACTAGCTTTAAAGGAGAATGGTAAGTCTATTTTCCATCTATAATGTTTGTCCAAAATACTAAATGGATTGCCATACTACGAGAGAGAGAGAGAGAGAGAGAGAGAGAGAGAGAGAGAGAGAGAGAGAGAAAGAGAGACAGAGAGAGACTATAGATCTATAAATATATAGTACATAAAATTAATATATAAATACATATGTATTTTTATCATAGTACACATTTTTTCCCACTTTGTTTTTCCTTGAAAGGCAGCAGTGACTATGAGACTGTCTTTTTGCCTTTTTGTAACCCCAGTGCTTAGCAGTGCCTGTCACATTCTATGTACTTAATAAGAGCTAACTGACTGACTTATCTTCTTTTTTATTTCTTATACATGTACACTGAATGTAAGCTTCTTGAAAGCAGGTATTGTTTTCACTTTTGTCTTGGTATCCTCATTACCTAATATGGTATCTGGACCATTGGAAGTATCTAAACCTGTTTGTCTACTGATTGGTTGATATGGAATCAGATCTTGACTTTGCTTCTCACTTCTAGCTGTATAATCTTCTATGACTCATTTAGCCTCTCCAGGCCACAATTTTCTCATCTGTAAAATTAAAGGTTGTGCCAGACTGTCTTAAGGACTATTAAGATTGTAAATCTATGATTTTCTGTTTCTAACTTCTTAAGTACTTGTCTTCCACGATTACTTTAACTGGCCTTTTGAATAATGTAAAAATTATGAGGTTGGATTCATATGTTTCCTTCTAGTTCTCATTTATGGTCCTGAGACCTTGCAAGAAGGAGGTTCTGTAGTGTTTCAAGGGTTGCACAGTGGATTCAAGCAGTGGAAAAAAAGAGTCAAAGTCCTGAGTTCAAATGTGAACTCAGACATTTACTAGCTGTGTGACCCTGGACAAGTTAACTCAATTTCTGTCTGCCTAAGTTTCTTCCATTGTATAATGGAGATGATAAAGGCACCTATCCCAGGATTGTTATGAGGATAAAATGAGGTTTGTAAAGTGCTTATCCCAATGCCTGGCATATAGTAGGCTTTTAGTAAATCCTTGATATCTTTTTTTTTTTAATTTGAGGCTTGATGCAATCAGCCCAATGCCTTCTGCAAACAGGAGCATTTGGAAAAACTTGTTATAGACAATACCTCCCCTATTCTGATTTTGCATAAAACATCCTGCAACACTGGAAAATACATGAGGGAAACACATACCTTTCTCTTCTCCTTTGTATCCATAACACCTAGTACAATGTCTGGCAACTAATAAATACTTAAACACTAGATGATTATTTTATGCCTCACTTGGTGTTGATACTCAGTAGAGCACTGAACAAAGTTATCTTCATAAAGTGGTTACATCTTTCATACAATCTTGAGTGATTTTAATGTATGTGAGGCATCCTGTCTAAGAAGAACCTTAATGGCTGTTTTACAATCTCACAAGTTTAATCTCTTTTTTAAAAACAAAAATAGATCTTGTGAAAACTTTTACATACCATATTCCTCAGTTGCATGACTATGAAAATATAGAAAAATGGCTGCAAAAGTCTCTCATTTCTTTCTCAAGTTATCATTATGGATACCCTTAGTGCATGTACACACAAGCTATTCTGATTAAGATTTTATGCAGAAGAGAAGGTAGGTACGTGAATCGGTAGTTGGTGATATCTTCTCAGCTGTGGGTTTGCTTTTGTTTTTTGTAAAAAATGATCTTTTCCATTTTGAAATTATTTGACACCTTAAAAATTGGTGCCTAAGTACCTTTCAATTAGTTTCTTCTCTTGAACAGATTTCTTTCACATCTATCCCATCTTCCCAACTACATCATCTTATTTGCTAATGCTGCTCCCTTATAAAGTGCATTAGATCCCAAGATGTCAAGTTCAAATGTGGTAATTCCATTATCACCAATGATTAAAAGAATTACTACATAGAGGACTGATGCTGAGTGAAGTGAGCAGGACCAGAACATTGTACACACTAACAGTCATGTTGTACGATGACTAACTTTGATAGACTTAGCTCTTCTCAGCAATGGAAGGATCTAAGACATCTGCAAAAGTCTCATGAGGGAAAATGCTATCCACACCCAGAGAAAGAACTGTGGATTCTGAATGCAGATTGAAGCATACTGTTTGTTCTTTTTTTTTTCCTTCTTTCTTTTGGTTCCTCTTATTGGTTCTAATTCATTACAGCATGACTAATGTGAAAATATGTTTAATAGGAATGTATATGTAGAGCCTATATCAGTTTGCACTCTGTCCTAGGGAAGGAAGAGGAAGGAGAGGGGGAGAAAATTTAAAACTCAAAATCTTATGGAAGTGAATGTTGAAAACTAAAAATTAATTAATTAGTTAAAAAAATAATAATTACTACATAGAAACACTAGCAGTTCTTCTTCCATTTATATGCTTCTTTCCTGATTCACTTACAAATGTGCTCAGGGTAATCCTCCTCCCCTCAAGCTTTCTGCAGGCTCATTTTCCCCTCAACTATTTATTTCTGTTTGTTGTTGCTCAGTCATTTCAGTCATGTCCAATGATTTGGGACCCCATTTGGGCTTTTCTTGGCAGAGATACTGGAGGGGTTTGCCATTTCCTTTGCCAGTGGATCCATTTTGTCAGGCAATCAGAGGTTAAGTGACTTGTCCAGGGTCACACAGCTAGGCAGTGTCCAAGGCTGGGTCTGAACTCAGGTCTTCCTGACTCCAGACCCAGTGCTCTATCCACTGAGCCACCTAGCTGCCTCATTCATTTCTATACTGTGAGGATTATTGCTTGTAATCCTCTTCTTGAAGGTTTTTTAAATAAGTTTGTAATTTAAACATGTATGTTCTTGGCTGCCACATAATTTTTAGTTGTCTTAAAGGTCAAGAGTTAACTGGCTAAATAGTTTCTGGGCCTTCTTGGCCATCTTGGGCCAGCTGCTTTGTGTTACTTTTACTTCTTCAAGAGCTATAGATACAGAGTCAAAATCTTCATTTTTTGTGGAGCTTCCATATTGCTTAAACAGGTTGAATTGCAACTGTTTTCTTAAAATATAGTAAGTACCTTCTTATATGCATCCTTTCTTCTAATTTAATGATGGTTCTGATATTTTCCTTAACCAATGATCTGACCTGGCAGGTAGAAACCTGTTGCTCCCTATCTCTTAAGATATTGTCCATCTGATTTTTTTATGTTGTTTACATTTTCTCACCACATCCACCTCCTTTCAACTAACTTCTTGAAGAAAGTATTCATGATCTATAGGCCTGAAAGTTTGGAGTAGTCTGCAAGCTTTTGCCTTCTTTAGTTTCTTAATCTCATGATATTTTCCAATTTGTTTTTCACTGTCTTCTTCTGTGTTTGCCTTTACATTGAATTTCTTATGCCACTAGTTGTTAATGCTCATTCTAACCTGTAATTTTTTTTGTATTAATTTTATATACATTTTCTATTTGCCTGTCATTGCATATGCTGTTCCCCCACATCCCAGATGAATGTAAGTTCCTTGAGGGCAGGGACTCTTTCCTTTTTGTCTGTTTAATCCCCATTATTTAGTAATATGCCATGCTGTTCTCAAATGAAAATTTGGATTGGCCTAAGTAACAACCACAGCCACAACCACAACCACAACCACAACCAACAATAAAAATAACACTTTAAGGTTTGTAAAGGCTTTTGCACAAATCAATGGTTCTCAAAGTACAGTCCATAGACCCCTGGGTCCCTAAGACCCTTTAGGGGGATATGCAAGCTCAAAACCATTTTCATGATTCTAAGATGTTTTCATTACTAATTCAGTAAATATTGATATCATCTGTATAAACAAAAACTCTTTGGGGAGTTTAGAGTGTAAACAGTGCTAAGACTGAAAAGTTTGGCAATTGCTGGATGATCTCATTTGATCCTCATAATAATCCTCTGATTAGGTGCTATTATTATCCCTATTTTGTAGGTGAGGAAACAGGCTGAGAGAGTTTCTTGCCCAGGGTCACACAGCTAGTTAGTGTCATAGGCAGGACTTGAATTTTGGCTCTTCTGCTTCCAAACCCAGCACTTTATTCACTATACCTCCTAGCTGCCAAGTACTAGCAATAGGGCTCACGTTTGCTTGTTCAGTCATTATCAGTCATGTCCAACTCTTCTTGATCCCATTTGGGGTTTTCTTGGCAAAGATATTGTAGTGGTTTGCCATTTCCTTCTCCAGCTCATTTTACAGATGAAGAAACTGAGACAAACAGGGTTAAGTGATTTGCCAGGGTCACACAATCAGTAAGAGTCTGAGGTCATATTTAAACTCAGGTCTTTCTGATTCTAGGCCTGGTGCTGTATGTACTGCCTCACTTAGCTTCCTCCATGGGTCTCATAGTAGACACTTAATAAATGCTTTTGGGGGGTGAGGTGGGGGGGGGTGTCTGGTGTTGTTGCTGCTGCTGCTTTATCTGCAATTGCATGGCAAGATTCCCTAACATCTCATGAAAGATTTCTTGTTGTCTCTCGGCATATGATGAAATCAGCTCCTTTATTCACCATAGCACAGAGAACCCTTGAGTTGTTCTTTCATTGAGCTGTAACTTTTATAATTTTTCTGGTTTCCTGTGGAGCTAGACTACAGATATGGATTTAATTCTGTCTTGCCAATATCTTATCCCATAATTAACTATGGGACAATGATGGTACCAACTGTCTTCAATAATTCAGTTAAGGATGCAGAAAAATACATTAGAGAAAAAAAATACTAGATTTGGAGTCAGAGAATCCAAGTTCAAATTATGACTTGGCCACATACTGCCTATGTAACTCTGAGAGAGCTGCTAAGTGTCTCCTTGAATAGAACGCTGGGTCTGGAGTCAGGAAGACTTGTCTTCCTGAATTCAAATCTGACCTCAGACACTTACTAGCTGTTTGATCCTGGGAAAGTCACTTAACCTTGTTTGCGTCACTTTTCTCATCTGTAAAATGTGCTGGAGAAAATATGGCAAATCACTCCATTATCCTTGCCAAGAAAACCTCAAATGGAGTCACAAATGACTGAACAATAAGGTCTACCAATGACATATAGGCCATCCTTGGGTCATACTTAAAGTCATTCTAGTTTGGCAGGGAGGGCTGGCCAATTTGGATGCTTTCATCATTTATACTTCAAAGACCTCAATGTTTCCACTCCACAAAATGAGCAGCTGAAAGTCAATTTTTTCATTAACATTTATAGTCTATAAGCTGCATGCTTCTGTCCTCTGCCCCTCTGCCTTTCATAGCATAATAGCTTTAGAGCTGGAAGAGACCTTTGGCAGATAAGAAAATTGAAGCCCAAGGAAAAGAAATGGTTTCTCTGAGTCATACAATTAACAAGTATCAGAATCAGGATTTAAATTCACGTCCCATGTCTCCAACACTAGTGCTCCAAGTTCAATGCCTTTTCTAGCATACCATAAACACTTTCCCAGTACCCCGCAGAAGTAGAAGGGAGTCATAACAGACGAAGGTCCAATTTCTGGTTTTATCTGTTTCATGGATCACAAAGAGCCAAAAATGCATTGCCTTATGGTGATAAGCCTCTCTCAATGTGTAGCAGGATTGGTCCTTAGACAGCTGACCACAGTCTGTTACCCAGCTGTACTCGGAATCTTTGCAGATTACGTTCTGTTGGCAGAGGCTTCACAAATGCAGCCATGAGGAGGCATCAGAGCAGCTCTTTGGTCCTTCCAAAATAACTTTATTCCTTAGCTCGTTGTCATCAACAGACTTTTATACCTGCTCATTGTTGTTTTCTTTCCCAAGCTTCAATTGTGCATCAAACATGTTCTCACCCTATAGCAATCAAAGGAGAAGAGATTTTTAATGAGACAAAAAATAAAAATTGCCTGAGGTAAATTCCATGACTATTCCCTTTTGAACTTGAATCTACCACATTACTCTGCCCCACCAGGACAAAGAGATAATATTAGGCTCATAAATTTCCAGCTAGAAGGGACCTGAGGGATCATCTCATCTGGAGGTGTCAAATACCTGACCCAGAGCTCAAGTTGGAACCAGGATAAAATATTGTTAAGAGATATTTAGCAAAAGAAGTAAAAATAGAATTTGTTGTTATTACTGTTCAGTCTTTTCAGTCACATGCAAACTCAGTGACCCCAGCGGGGTCACAAAGGGAACAGAATGACTGAACAGCAAAAGTTCATTGAAGCTTCAGGAGAACCCTGTTGAGGGTCCAGGTGTCCTCATCCCCATTTGCAGGTAGGGAAGATGAGACTGAGATAGTCAAGGTGACTATTCTGACTTCACACCACTTGATCAGCTAACGTAGCCAGCACTTGTAGCTTCTCACTGCAAGCCCACTGCTTATTCTGCTACACCCCACTGTCTGCTTTGTTTCATCATTGGTCAAGGAAGGAGCATTTCTTGGAAATGACGTCAGCTTAATTGTTCAATTCCATTTCTGTTTTTTTTTTCCTTCTAAGTTCAAAGAAATGTCTATCTGAGAGATTTCCAAGTCCATTGCCAAGTCAGGTTGATTATATCTCTACAATGTCTCTTCTGTCTGCCTCCATTACTCCCCACGTGTGGCCACAATCGTCTTTCAGGTTCTTACTACTTCCCACCCATACTAGTACAATAGCCTTCTAATTGTGCTCCTGCCATCATCATCATCATCATCATCATCATCTTCATCATCATCATCATCATAACTAGTGTTCATAATATGTACCAAGCACTATGCCAAGTGCATCTCGTTTGATCCTCACAATAACCATGGGAAGTAGATACTATTATCATCCCCATTTTAGAGATGAGGAAACTGAAGAAGACAGAAGTTAAGTGACTTGTCCAGGATCACACTACTAGTAAATGTTTGCTACAGTATTTGAACTCAAATCTTCCTGACTTCAAGTCCAATGCTTTGCTCAGTGGACTACCTAGTCACCTACAAACTCCTCTATTGTGCATTTAAGGCCCCTCACAATTAGCATCCAACTATTCAATCCAGTTACTCCCCTTCATGCACTCTGGATTCCAGTCAAACTGATCTATTCATTGTTTCCTACCTCCAACCCTTTTCATGACCTATTTCCTTCACTTGAAATGTTCTCTATTCTTACTTCTGCCTCTTAAATTAAATGCCATGCTCTCTGTGATGTCTGTTCTCATCCCCCAGGGTTTAATATTCTCCTCTCCCTATGAAATTAGTTTCCACATATGTCATATTTACCTATATGTAAATTTATTTTTTTCCTTTTTTTATTTGCAGTTTCATGTGCAATCATCATTTTATTATACTGTATTATGGAAATGCTCGTTTTATTCCATAAATTAAAGATAAATAAAGCTAAAAAAATTACCTATCTATATACATCCTATTTCTTCCAATAGCATGTAAGCTCCTTGAGGGCAAGGAATACTTTTGTATGTGTCTCTGTGTCCCAGCAGTGTCCTATAATTAGTAAGTGTCTAACCCTTGTTGAACTGAATGACAAACTCTCTAAGAACTTCTTCCAGGAGACAACATTGTCTAAGCAGATGCCATTCTTTTCCTCTACAACATCACTCATATCCAACTTCTTCTCTCACCTCAAACAGGAACCATCTTGGTCCAGGTGTTCATCACTTCTCAGATACTATTGCAACAGACTCCTAATTGGCCTCCCTGGTTCAAGTTTCTCATTGCTCTAGTCCATCCTTCTGATTAGTGCCAAAGTAATTTCCCTTGAGCCCAGATATGATTATGTCAACTCCTTGACTCAAACAGCTCCAGTGGCTTTCTAAGGCTTCTAGGATCAAATATAAACTCTTCTGTTTAGCTTTTAAAGACCCTCACAACATGGCCTCAAGCTTTCCAGCCCCATTGAACATCACTTCCCTTCCCACCTTCTTCAATCCAGCTCAACTACGTGCTTCTTCATACCCTCTGTTCCCCCTTTCCTAGGCTTATAGCTCTAGAGCTGGAAGACAGCTTAGAGGTTATCTATGCCAACCGCCCTCATTTTCAGTTGAGATAATTGAAGCTCTTTTCTCTGTTCTTCACACATAAGGCTCCATCTCTCATCTCCACACCTTTGCAATGGCTGTGCCCCATGCCTGGAAAAAACTTCCTCCTTTCCTTTGCTTCACCAAGCATCTCCGTTGCTTTCACCTTTCTTCCTTCAAGATGCAACCCAAGCACCACAATGAAACTTTTCCTGATTCCCTCAACTGATAGCGTCCTTCCTTTCAAATAACCCTGAATTTATCTACTTTGTATCTATTTGCATTTATTCTCCTTATATTTATTTTGTATGTAATTACATACGTACTTAATGTCTTCTGCTTTAAAATATAAGCTTCTGGCGAACAGGGGTTGCTTCAATTATTATATTTGTATTCCTAGCATAGTACTGGTATATAATGGTCTGTTAATAAATACTTTTTGATTTATTGATTGCTGATGGTTAACTCATGAGCTACCCATTCAGACAGCCACTGCCACCTAAATCTGTAATCAGAATTCTACACTTAGCTTTGTGGCGCTTTAATGCCCACATCAAAAGGAGATTAGATTAGATATTCTCTAAGACCTCATCTAACAATATATGGATACTATAATATTAAGATACATAAATGGCAGTTGTTTTATTATTTTATTATTTCATTTTTATTTATTTATTTTTTATTACTTTTGTTATATTTATTACTGATAAAATTAATAACACAATACAATATGATATAATATAATTTAATAACAATTACTGTATATTAGTTATTTTGTTATGCATTACAGTCATTATTAGTTGTAGTTATATATCATACATAAGTTACTATTATTACTATACTATATATTATACATAAGTTACTATACATATTATACATAAGATACATTCAATTATTAATTATATATTACTTGTATATTACAGTTATACCTTCCACATCGCAACTTTCCCCATCACTGTTTCAATATATCAAGGGTCAGCATAAGAAATTAAATGAGAATTTGGGAGGAGTTTTGGGGAAGCCACAGGCAACACAGAAAAAGTTTAGAAACTCAGAAATGCATAAACTATAAGTATAGTATTGTATAATATCAACCCAAATTTTGCAACAAGGTATTGTAAACATCCCATAAATGAAAAAGAAAAAATTCAGACTTCATCTCTAGTACGAGGGGAGTGTCAAAACATTTTACATGGATTTTCCAGATTGGGAGGAACTGAGCCCCTAACCTCCAAGGAAGAGATAACTATATGTTGAACAATGATGATGATGATGATGATGATGATGATGATGATGATGATGATGATGATGCCACAAAGGTTGACCAGCCTAAGAAATTGTGATAACTTAGGATCTTAGGTTGACCATTGGAAGGGGCATTAGAATTCACCTAATGCAACCAATCCACTTTACAAATGAGGAAGGTAAGGCCCAGAGAAGTTCAGGGACTTGTCCAAGTTCACACAGGTAGAAGTGAGATTCAAATCGAGGAGGCAGCTCTTCTCCCCTGCTGACTTACCTTGTGTTTTTATCCACCTTCAGAATTTCCAGGGCAATGAAGCGATGTTTGAGGCTGTGGAGCAGCAGGACATGGATGCTGTGCAGATCCTTCTGTATCAGTACACCACCGAAGAGCTAGACTTAAACACACCCAACAGTGAGGGCTTGACACCCTTGGACATCGCCATCATGACCAACAACGTGCCTATCGCAAGACTCCTCCTGAAGACGGGTGCCAGAGAGAGTCCACACTGTAAGTAAAACTCAGGGCAGAGCTCATCTAAGGCTGCTCCAATGGGCATCAATTTAATGCCAAGAAAGACCCTTAAAAGCTCTTCTCAAGCATCGGAAGGGATATTAGAACTCTCCTCATGCATCTCACCCACTTGCCTTATAGATGAGGAAAGTGGAGAAAGAAGACTGACTTTGAAATCCTTAATATGTTTTCATGTGCAAGCCCTTTGAAAATAGCAGTCTTGGGGCAGCTAGGTGGCTCAGTGGATAGAGACCAGCCCTGGATTCAGGAGGACCTGAGTTCAAATCTGGCCTCAGACACATAATACTTCCTAGCTGTGTGACTCTGGGCAAGTCACTTAACCCTGATTGCCTCACAAAAAAAAAAATAGCAGTCTTGACACATACAGAGGCAAAGCAGCACATCACAGGGTGCTTTAAATTAGTATACACTGATTCTTGCAGGGAAAGAGCCTCCACCTAATAATTTATCCAGAACTTTAAACACTCTTGGTGATTTCACCAAGTGATACTTGAAGGCAAGGGACATGTGAGGGAGAAAAGAATCTGTGTGTGTGTGTGTGTGTGTGTGTGTGTGTGTGTGTAGGTGTGGCCATGTATCATATGAGCTATTTTGGGGATCATAGATTTAGGGCTAAAGAAGACTCTCAGAGGTTATCCAGGCCAAGCCCCTCATTTTGGGGATAAAGGAAGCTCAGCAGGACTAAACATCTGGGCCAGCATCGCATGGGCAGTGAGAAGCAGGGCCAGGATTCAAACCCTGTTCTTTTTGTTCCAGTTCCATGGTCTTTCTGTAATTTCCTTTATTGGGGTAGTGTGGTACAGTAGATTGCGAGCCCAAAAATGTCCAGTCTGCAAGAAAAACCACTGAGGCAGAGCTCCAAGCCAATAACCATTTATTAAAGGGACCTGGCCCCCTGTAAAGATAAGACCCCAGATCTTCCTCATAATCTGAGATGCCCCCCTTCTTCCAGGGCCTTAGTTTTATAGTGCTTGAAACACAAACAATGCAAAAGAGACAAAGTAAAATACAGTCTTACTGGTTGACCTTGACTCTGATCATCCAGGAGGGTCTACATAAAAATCTCATTGGCTGACATGTCTGGATCTTTCAGGAGGGCCTACTGAGCCAATGGACAGACCCACGGGCTGGGCTATTGATTATTGCGTCAAAGCATCCACATGGGCCAATGAACTGGTAGATGGATAGGCCATGGGCCAGCAAACAGTGTCACTCATTGGCCAATGCTTGTGGCCATCTCCCTATGTTGGCAACAGAGGGGTGATAAAGAGCAAAGGCACAACAAAAATAGCTGGGGTACTTTTCCTATCTTTGAGTCATCGCTACCATGCTGGGCTTGGTCCCCTACTTGGCAGGAAGAAAGGGTGGAGCTCCTCTAGTTAGCTTCGTATGATTAAGCAAGTGAACTTTATAAAAGCAGGTAAACTTACAGCTTATGGTTTAAATGATAAGAAAAACCAGACTGACTAAATACATAGACAAGTATAATACTAATTATTTGCTAACAACACTACCGCTATGGAATCATATTAAACTGATTAATACTGATTGGAATAAAAAAGAGATCTAACTGATCATCCGTCACAAGATGGAGTACTGGACTTGATACTAGAAAGACCCAGAAACCTGAAGGGAGGAGGCGCATCACTGTAATCCCTGCTATGAGGGAGATTGAACCTGGTAGATCAATGAAGTGTGGGATTTCTAAGCTGCAGTGAACTAAGCCATTTGGGTTTGTACTGTTTGCCTCCAATACAGTGAGTTCCTGGGAGCAAAGGGCCACCAGGCTACCTAAGGAGGGGGCCAATCATCCTAGATTGGAAACAGAGGCAAGTCAAACCTTTCAAGTCAATCAACAGTGCTGCCTCTGGACTTCCAGCCTGGGCAAAATAGGTAGACTCAGTCTCAAAACAAACAAACAAAAAACACCTTTCATTTAAACATTGCCTCAAGTTAACTATATAACCCTGGGTACATGATTTAATCTTTATGTGCCTCAGTTTCCTCATATGTTAAAAAAAAGGAATAATAATAGCACCTACCTCATGTGGTTGTAAGGACCACCTGAGATAATGCCTGCAAAGTGCTTTGCAAACTTCAATGAATGATCTAAATGTCAGCTATTACTTCGCTATTTCATAAAGTAAATAATACCAGAGCCAGCTGAGACAGCCCAAGAAGTGTATCTTTTTGTAAACAGTTCTGTGTACGAGCCATGGCTCCACTGGAATGAGTCAAGCCCAGCTAGAAGCCTTTACTTGGCTGTAAACACTCTGTGACATTTAATGTCCACACTGGCTCGGAACCACGGGCTTATGTTTTCTCTAACAAATTCATGAATGAACAGGCATTTGCTAAGCACTTACTATGTGCTTAACTCTGGGGATACAAATCCAAAAACTTGAGATAGTCCCTCCTCTCAGGGAGCTCCCAACTTGATTGGCAAAGACAACATATGAAAGAACGCTTAGCTGTAGAACAGAGGAAAAGGTCCTGAAATTCTAAAGATTCCTCAGAGAGGCGGAAGGCAAGGGACCTCAGGTAAAATCCTCAGGTCTGATAAAAGTGCCAGGGGCTTATAGGGCATGAGGGGAGCTAATGGTAAAGTCTGGTGGTCCTCTATCTCACCAGGAAAAAAAAAGAGTGGGTACACCACCTTGTGCAAGCTCTATCAAGAAGCTGGGTACCATGTCAAGCACTGGGCATACAAAGACAAAAAAAGAAACAATAACCAAAGGGTTATTGTTCACTACTCCATCACTGCAGTGCTCCAAAGGGTTAACCAAACAACGGCTTACTTGACTCCTAAAAAACTGTGCAGGGTGGATAATTTGGAAACCATTTATTTGCTCCCAAAGTTCAAACATCTCCCACCCAAAGAGCCTCCTTACACTAGGCACATAGGACAACTCTTGTACTAAAAAGCTCATCTCCTTTTTTGGGTGAATCCATAGCCCTACTTTGTCCAGAAACTTGACGAATTGGTTTTAGTGGGATCTGGGTCTAAGAGAATAACATTTTCATGAAGAGTGTGCTACTCTTTTGAGGGAAGAAGAGAATTTAAAGAAATGGGCTTGTGAAGGTGGAATTAAACAAAAAAGTTGGGGAGGGGACGTCTTTGTCACTATGAAATTTATTCTTCAATAACGTCTATCCCAATGAACCAGCAAGGGAGGGCTTGGAGGGAGAATCGATGGGGCTGAATACCGAGAATGCAGACTGAGCAGCATTCTGTATGAAGAAACAAGGAGACTATTCATCCAGATGTTGCCTCTGCCATCCCTGCAGTGGGCTGGATGAAACATTAGACCTACTTACCTGGATGCTGCAGAGATTTCTTCACTTTCCATGAAAATAGTGAGACACCCCCCTCCCAAGTGCACATTTAAACCTCATTAAAAAAAAAAGTTCAAATCTTCTACACCAAGACTGAAGCCAAAACACAGGCTTAAGGAGCCTCCTATCTTCTGTGACCTCCACTATGGGACAATCCCTAATGATGTGATCACATGCTGATTAGACTGATAAGAGGTTGCATAAGCTCTTTGTCTCCATTAGACCTCACAAACTAGTTTAATGAAAAGAATGCTGGACTTAGAGTCTGAGTCTGACAGACTTAGGTTCAAATCCTGCCTGAGACACTTACTAGCTGTGTGACTTTGAGCAAGTCACTTAACACTGTTTGCCTCAGTTTCCTCACCTGTAAAAGTAAAGAATTTGGATTCCATGACCTCTCAGGACTCTGCTAACCCTAAATCTATGATCTTATAAACCCAGGGGAAAAAATTTGGCCTCATGGCAAAAAAGAGACCCACAACTATCTCACAAACACAATTGAAAATGAGATCTGTGGTGTCTCTGGTCACTTGACTGAACCCCAGCTTCCCTCCTTTTTTTCCTGTTTGCTGGAATCCAACAATGTGTTTCCCTTGGCTCTGTTCTTTGCAAAAAAGTGTTCCAATTAGAACAAGGTTAGGATAGAGGAAGGCAATCTGTTCTCCAGGATTTTCAATTCACTTTCTAGGCCAAGTTCAAATGGGAGCAAAACTGCTCCAACTCAATAGAAGGGTCTCACCCATGAGAAAAACCATGACCTGCCACCAAAAACAGAAAAGTGAACACCTGCCTAAAATGGCACCCTGGAAGAGTCAGAGGCATAAGATGAGCATGGAAGATGACTACATTTGGCATACTTTGAACAATTTGAAGCTACAACTTAGTGGCATGTAGTTTTGTCTCCATTTCATAGCAGTACAAACTGAGGTACAGAGAGGTTGAAAGACCAACTGACCTTCATCATGGCATTTCATGATGTCATTTGGAGGTCATCTAGTCCAATCCTCTTACTTTATAGATGAGAAAACTTTTAGATGAGAAGCTTTTAGAGAAGTGATTTTCCCAGTGTCATACAGATAATAAGTGGAATTTGAACCCAGTTCCACTGATTCTAAATACAACATTCTCTCCATGATACCGTGTTGCCTCAGTCACCGTTCATCACCCTGAGCTTCACTTCCCCTATCTATGAATGAGGAGGTGGATTACACAAGGTCTCTTCTAGCCCTGACTCTATAACCCTTTGATTCTAGCCCTCAGCTTATGATTTGCTATCCAGTGTCCCAGACTTTAGCCTCAAATTCATTCTTGGTCCTATAGAAGGATAAGTAGTCCAGGAATAGGAATTTACTGAATCATGAAAACAGCCCCAGAAATACTCATCCAAAATTGCACACCACACTAAGACCAAAATGCATGACAAAAATAGAGTCCTCTTTCTAGAGTCAGCTGTCTTTATTAAGCTGCTTCTTATGTCCTCCTGCCTCTAGGTGGCAGTCCAGTAGTGCAGAATCACATTTACTCATTTAAAAAAAAATCAAAACAACCACTTCTTCAAGGATTATTGGGGTAGAAACAGAATTATTTACTTCCTCTCTACCTAATGGGATGGGCTTAGAGAATATATCTAAATAGCAACC